CAGCGGACACCTTAATAATCGATTCTTTACCATAGGTTTAAATGGCAGAACAATCGATACATCGCAAAGCACGCTACGCCACTGGCCACAGCATTTAGTTTTACATCTTGGCATGACTGAAGTAACTGCTGCAACGGGTAATTCAGCATTTTAGAAGTTATCGCACACTTTTTTTACATCCAGAATGTTACATCAAATTCACTTTTTTTTCGGTGTGAGGCAATTAGGAAAGGAATAGATTTCTGTGAGCACGCACGTATTTAAAGTGAGAGTTTAACGGAAATTCTCGAACTCTCTCACGAAAAAAAAAAAAACTCTGTAACTTAGTTCTCAATTGCCAAAGTTCCCCCACAGTGCGCCTCCTCGCCAGCTTAGAAAGTCGAGTATTTTCGGCCGCTCGACCGCCAACGCACTCTGCAGGGGCAAATGCTAATTTACGCTTTGCACTTGCGCCGGACACTCCTGCTCCTCTCCTGATATGAATCTTCGAGAGCCTCAGCCCGGAAGCCTGTGCAAGCAACATCTGTGACAACTCAACGAAATGGAAAGAAAGTTATCGCAATTCCTCGGATCTCCGACTGACACCACCCGCAACACGTCTGGTTAGAGGTTACAAGGTGAGCCGGTTACGGAGACGCTAAACTTTCAAATCCTGCGATCGCTAGTGCCTACACTTGGACAAATACAGGGTGCCTTCAGGCTAGGAGGAAAAGTTGGTGACTTTCCCACGTTTTTCCGGAACAAAAAAATCTACCTGACTTGCTACATTTAAAATTTGCACGCTTGGATCTGAGGATTAACACGTTTTATCATCAATTTTACTGTTAACTCACTCTTCAGGTAAAGATGGAGATGTTGTGTGAGGAATTTGCGATTTGACTGTTGCTGCTTATGCAAAAGTTCGCGAGAAACACGACTGGTTTACTCTGAAATCAATTCCCAAGCTCAAAAAAAGCTCTCAAGTTGAGGCCAAAATGGAGGGGATATCCCACGCTATCCTGAGAGTTCACCTCTACATCAAGACAAACTCTCCATGCAAAGGTAGGGAGCAAATACATTAGCAGGGTTGCCGTGTTTTCAGTCTTAGAGTCCCCGAATAATGTGGAAGCCCTGTCACTTTTTTTAGCTTTTTTTAGGTTTTTAGCTTAAAACTTGTTCAACTTTGTAAAAACTTCAACATTTACTTCGACGGATTTGTCAAAGGCTTACCCTCCGTCAGTTTTTACTGCGGAAAGGTTCGTGCAAGCAAAGGCCGCCTTAGCTAGAGGAGAGGAAAAATGTGAATCCGAGATTCGCATGACAGAATATTCCTCCCAATAACCGAGGAAACCATAAAGAGGACAGTGGCTCTCACGGTCAACAGCGCTACCTGCAGGCCAATCTCAACACTTAAAAACGATCGTAAATCGATCTACGACGATTGCACCCGAGGCAAGGCTCGCCTAAGTGCGCGTTGCAATGTATCGAATCCCGTGTCGTAAATGGTGGCAAGTTTCGTCGTTTCCGAAACGAAAGAACGTGACTAAATGTCAACATTACAAAATTTCATTCGTACTTTTTATTATCACTTGGGAACTACGGGCCATTTGATATTATAATTTTTTTTAGAATTATCCACCGATTATCGTCAGTAATATGGTACATTTTGGATGGAGACATCGGTGTCATTTTAGCGCGAGAAAAAGACTCCTTTGAGTAGATTTTGCAACTTCGAAATGCAGATGCGTCATTTCATCAAGGAAACGACAATTGGACGTATCTCTGCCGAACGGAAATATGTGCATTAAGACATGAGCCCTGAGACCCATAAGAATACACGCATGACAGAGTTCACGTCATAATGCACATACTTCCGTTTGGCAGAAGTACGTCCAATTTATCGACGAAAATCGATGGGTCTCACCATGCCGAATTCAATGGGTTCTATGCAATGTTAGGGGATAACGGTGGTTTTATCGTCTGCTTTTACGAGTGGCCGACTATCGGACATCGGACGGCTAACAAAAAACAACGACAAACATTCGACGGGACGATTGGATGTGCATCGGATGTTTGTCTTGGGCGGGTCCTCCTTGGTCTGGGGGCTACGGGGCTCACCCACTTGGCCATTGCAGTCCAAAGCGATGCGAGAATGATCGGTTATCGATACTTCCCCATTTGAAGGTATGGTAAAGAATCGAGAGTTCAGGTGTTCGTTTCCAACACCCTGTTTAGCGATCCTGTCCTATAGGTTTAAATGGCAGATCAATCGATGCATCGTAAAGCACACCACGCCACTGTCATTGCCATTGGCACGAGTTGTCGCGTTCCCGCACGTGGCAACTATACTGACAGTAGTAACAGTAACACAGTTTCCTTGGACAATTTTGTACCGAATTGACGTTTGTTAATAAGACGTATATCAACGGGCTGATTACTGGACACAGCTATAGACAAAGAAGACAAGATAAAAATGGAGCGATCCTCCTGTGGGTCGATTATTGAAATTGATAGACAAAGCGATAGACAAAGAAGACAAAAAGGATTTTGAGGGATTCTATTGGTAGAAGCGGGTGGTTGCAATGGACAAATGAGGTAGGTAATAGACTAACTAACGGCAACCCACGAGAGACCCGACAGTTAGTCTGTCTTTTTCCCCCTTAGTCTATAAGAGCCACCCGTTTCCACCTATATGATCGCATCTTACTCTCTATGTCTTCTTTGTCTATCGCTTTATCTATCAATTTCAATAATCAGTCCGCTGGTGGACGCGGGCGGTTGTAATGGACAAAAGAGGTAATTAATACGCTAACTGACTAACTCACGCGAGGCAATTTATTGGATACATAATTTTCTCCTTTAGTCTGAAAAAATCACTCGTTTATACCGATAGAATCGTTCAATTTTCTCTTTGTCTATCGCTTAGTCCGTCAATTTAAATAATCAGACTACAGGTGTTACTGCTAGAACTTAGGAAGTTTTGAATACAATTCCACTCGGTCTTTTTGAATACGCAATTATGAGTGACTTTCGTGGACGATCTCGGAGACTTTAACGAAATGGTAGGAAAATAGGAAAATTCACACAGGAGTGGGTCTCGAACTGACCAGTGCCAATGTATCACAGGATTTATCTCCTTTTCATTGTTATTTATCAATCCGCCTCCTAGTTAAATCTCAGGAAAATTAGTGTTAGGCCCGTATTTCATATGGTATGGTATGCTAAATTTATTCCTAAAAACTAAATTATTAAAAAGAAATAGTATAAATCCAGCACTATTAAAGCATCCTAATATCTACAGTACTCGGGTCTTAGTGTGGGTCAAAATAAAAGTTTTTAGATTTTCTGACCCTTTCAAAAACAGATGGTATCTCAGTCTTCGGTCGGATCGTTTCAGTCACACGTCAAATGTAGACACGAGGAACCGAGAATAAGAATAACAAATCAATTTAGTAATCGACTTTGTAGATTTAACTGATCTTTGCTGATTGACTTCGGATTGTGTTTGTCTTACCCGTGCCTTTACGAAGTGCCGCAACTAAGGTCCAAGTTCAGTTCGTTGACCTCGCACCCGGGGGCGTTGGGGGGGGGGGCTGTAGGGGGGCATCTAAAGTGCGGAGTGGTGCGAGAATTGATCCATCAAACAGCTTAATGGAGTTCGGGCAGCCGAAAAAAACTGCAGAGACATCTGCGGACCGAGTCACACACCTGAAAACCACTCCTCGCACGCGTGGAGTTTTGTCGCGCTGAGGAAAAACGCCGTATGAACCGTCGGATGTTGCCAAGTCTCCCTATCACCTACTACCCTAGGTACTATGTATTTTCGAGGATGGATTTACATATTTTTTCTTTAAATTTTCAGACATTTGAGATCAAATTGTGGATAAAAATGCCTGAGAAATTGCAGGGCTGCCACCGTCAGGGAATACCGGGAAAATCGGGAAATTTCAGGGAATTTTAAAAAGTCAGCACGAACCAAGACATGTAAAGGAACTTGATATAAGTGTGAGGGAAAAAGTGTTAATTCACCTTTATTTGCTTTTTAGAATGGGTTTGACGTTTTGAACAACAAACTTTGCCGGAAAAACTATTTTAAATCACGTCTTCTTAACCGTCTGGCATATCTTCAATTGTCAGGGATTTCTACCAAAATGTGCCAGGGAAATGTTAGGGAAATTGATTTTTTTGAATTCTGTGGCAACACTGATTTGAGATCAAATTGCAAATAAAAATACCTGAGAAAATTAAGGGAAAATATTCAAAAGTTTCCCGGATATAACACGCAGTTTTTCAAATTGGATTCGGCAACGTCTGAAGGCTCTTATGTTGTTCTTCCTTAGCATGGCTAAGTTGAATCGATTGTCCGGAAGGAATATAAGCCAAGATAAACATAAATTGAATTTATGCCCGGACTGACGAAAAGAGTTTCGAAGAGCTTAATTGATTCTAATCAATGGACCACGAGGCAAGGTGAGGATTGAATCACACTGCTTAGGAACCGCTTCCTCATCCAATTTTTATGTAGAGCTCTGCTCGAATTGGAATACTTCAGAAGTCATCCTTTCAGGCTGAAATAATCTTATTTGGGCGTTTCGAACTTGTCACTCGGACAAAATAAGTGGAATCAAAATCAAGTCAACTATTGGAGGTTCGCGCATCAGATCCATACTTCTCAAATTATCCCACAATGTCTGCATGCCTGTTGAATGATATGGACATTATTCAAATACCCATATCATCAAACACGATAGGGTAGTGCCAGAATTTTAGGAGACACGCCTAACACTTTTTTCCGTGTAATTTCAAAATGGAGTCCAGTTGATAACAGCGATAGGTTTTAAAGTTAAAGACTTTAACCCTGTCTAAAGATCCATCTCAGGGTGAAAGTTGGGACCATCAACGAAAGCTTCCTTCAAAATTTCTCAGTCTTTTCGTTACTTTCGTTTAGGGCATCCTTAAGTAAAACAACAGGAGGATATGAAAAGCCCAAAGGTCATTTTGAATACTACATGCAGACTTACTTGTGACGTCTCATCGGCTAAACTCTTGAGGTGCGCTAGTTCGCGTAGTTTTTCTCGCCGTTTATCGTGTAGTTCCTGAAGCCGAGCTGTCGCTTCTCTGATCTCCGAAAACAACCGAGAGGCTGTTTCTGTCCGCTCTCTGCGAAAAACAAAAGGAAAAATCACATTGTAGCAAAGTAGATTCATGAAAAATATTTGTGTAGAACTTTAGCAGCACTAAACAGCACTACACTGATAAAAATGTTTGTGTTCGTGGGTTACTTTTGGTTAATATAGGAAGTGAAATACAAACCAACAAAAATTTTGTACTGATTTTAGTACAGTTTACGATGAATTTAGCGACGGAAACGATGAAGAGACTGAACGAAAAAAAAAACCGATATTGCTGATTTAAAAATTTTGACGTTAGGTATATAAAAAGTGTCCGACATGTTTCAAAGTAGATTTTACAATAAATAGGAGCTTAACCACCCCCGTGAATAAATTCGCTGTGCACTATTGTAAAATGTACACTTAAAAAACTTTCGAAAATATTTTGCAACGATTTAATTGTTAAATCAGCAATTCATTTTTTTCTGTGGGAGAAATGCATTCCTTCGATTGCGACGTTGGCATTGACCGATCACTTTTTAATACATTTTATCAAGAAAACTGGCTAACATATTTTCTCGTGAAATCGTCAACCGAGGGCTAGGGTTATTATGTGTTTTATTTCCCATATTGACCAAACGTTTGCAGGGTGTTTAGTTTTTTTTCATTTTGGGAAATCCTGGTTTTTCTGATTTCTGACTGCTAAAACCTGAGTTTTTGCGGGAAAAAATTAAAATCTCTACATTAGCGTATGCGAAAGCATAAAAAAGTCTGATCGGACAGCCGACTTTTCTCAAATCCTGATTTTACGACCGATTTTTCCTCAAATTCTGATGAGATCGGGACTAAATCCCCAGAAAAATTAGTTGCTTATTGCAAAATACAGTCCAAATATGTGTCACGGTCATGGTAAAGATGAATATTACAAATTCCTCCTACAGCAATATTATCACTTTCGCTACATTCCACGATTCTACTTTTCGTTTCCCGTGCGAATCTGCACCACCCAACCCACTCGATAACCTCCCGCCATAGCTTTTCGTGCACATATCGGCGAAGGGTATTTCTGTCCACCTCTGCCCGCGTCAGCCGAAGAATGATATCCTCGCTCAATTGTCCGCAGGGACCACTTTCAGTTGTGGACAATGGAATGTAGGCCTCAGGATTCCTCTCCTGAGACACCGGACGCGGATCCTTGGAAAGCTAAATGATAATTACTGGCGCGTCGCGTCGGCGTCGCGGTGGGAACCGCGATCGGGTCAAGGGGTCAGTCTGGACGTCCGGGGGCCCGCATCCCTCCAACGAATCCGCTGAATTATTCTCCGAGGGGTACTCTCGCTCTTTGCATATTCAAGACCAGAAAAGATTTGAAGTGATTCTCGGGAAAAGTGTATGTCCTCGCTGCATGTCAACGAGAAATTAAAGACACTCTGGGAAAAAAAAACACATTGGATCTAGAGTCCAGACTCTTGAAAACATTGACAAGAAAAAATACTCTTGATTCAAAAGGAAATCCGCTTAAATTAAGAGGCTTGGTTCTTGATTTAAGTTAGATTCTGATTGAACCAAGAGTACTTTTTCTTGTCGATGTTTTTAAGAGTCTGGACTCTAGATCCAATATGTTTTTTTTCCAGTGAAATTCCGAGAATATTTAAAGTGATTCTCGGGAAAAGTGTATGTCCTCGCTGCAAGTCAACGAGAAATTAAAGACAGATATGCAAAACTTGGTGGACCATTTGTTCCTTTTGCTAGTCTCTTTTTTTATGAAATTAGCGACTTTTTTTCTGAAATCTACGAATTTTTTAAACTCATTGACATACCCTCGCAATCAACATTTTCCATACCACTGAAAAAAATTTTAAATTCCTGCTTTAATTATTACCACGTTTACAATTGTCTCGCTTATTATAGTAGAAGAAAAATACGGATTCCAGACCAATTTTTAGAGCCAAGTGTGGAGAAAATAAAGTGGACTGGAAAAAAAAAAAAAAAACACTTTGGATCTAGAATCCAGACTCTTGGAAACATTGACAAGAAAAAGGACTCTTGATTCAATCAGATTTAAGCTTGAATCAAGAACCAAGCCTCTTCATTTGAGCGGATTTCCTTTTGATTTAAGCTTCAATCTGATTGAATCAAGAGTATTTTTTCTTGTCGATGTTTTTAAGAGTCTGAACTCTAGATCCAATGTGTTTTTTTCCAGTGTGTGTGAATAAAGGTGGACCTTTGAATTCTAAAAGCTCATACGAACAAAAAGTCTCATTAGAGTAATTACCACATAGTAAGAGTGTAATATACGTCAAGTTACTCAACTGATTGGTTGGAGGAATGAAATAATAAACAAGTGAGGAGAGAAACTGATGCGTTGAAAAAGCCTCTCACTTTCGATGACCTTTCCCCGCCGCAACTGTGCGCTATCAATTAGAGGAGAGGGCGGAAGGAAATGCGATGGAAAGCAAAACAAGCGATGAATGGAAGTCATTAAAACAATGCCCGACGGATGGGAGGGGAAGTAGAGATTCTATGGTGATCTGAGCTTCTTACTATGTTCTACACAAAGCCGGCTCTACAGATAGGAACATCGAATTCTCGCTTAAATTATCTTGGACATTTTTTAATACTTTCATTCGTCTTCAATATTTCATTTCGACCGGGGAAAAAAAAGGTTTCGCCATACTCATTACGCTTCCAGAAAAGATTATTCCATTGCATCAACTGCATTTCCAGTAAAATAACATTGATATATTGTGATATGTATACTTGTCTGGATATATTCCGCCGTTAAATTGTCGTTTCGGTGGCAAGAGCCTAAGTATTAGGTGCTATTTTTGGTATGATTGGACTGCCTTTTGCAATTTGGAGCTATAAATTCTGGCTCATCTGAAAAAACACTTATGTGCATAGGGACACTAATGGCACATACGTTGTTTTTAAACCGGGCCAGACTTTATAGTTCCAAATTGCAAAATGCAGTCCAATTGGTCAGTCTCCGCACGTATTCTATTTTTCTGAAGAAAAATAAACCAACACTTTTTGTTGAAATTGTCAGCGCTCACGTATTGCACCATTGACTCCAAAAAGGACAAAAAACCGACAGAGAAACGAAATAATTTTCGGAATTTTCGCAAAATTCGCAATTTTTCAAAACACAAAGGAATACTTCCTGCGTTAACGAAGAAATCCCTGAAAAAACACATTTTTTCCTAACTCCATGCAGTGTTGTTCCAATCCCCCCCCCCCCCCNTTCGAGTCCGCTTCTCACCCTGCTAGACACATTGAAATTTCACTACAAAACCATAACAACAATCCTGACGTTCCGAAGGGACTAAAAGATGAAAAATCGCAGACTGACCAAAAAAGGAGATGCATAAATTGCAAGTAAAGACGTGTGCGAAAATATCTCTGCGTACAGTGCTATTCGAGGGGGTTCGTGAGGTTCAATATCCCATTATTCCGGAAATAATAAATAGTCTCTCCGAAAGCTGCGAAGCGAGGAGGACCGCAAAGAAAACCTGCGAAGTCACGAAGCAATTTTCTGAATTTTAGCCCGAGGAACCCGATAGAGCTTTGCGCGGCGAGGAGCTTTTGGAGTGGCGGTCCCTTTAGCACCGCCTGCGCGACCGGCTCTTTCTGAGGAAAAACGCCGTATAAACCTTCAGGCGTTGCCAAATTTCCTTCGATAAAACGCGCATTTTCAGGGAAACTTCTGAATAATTTTTCGCCATTTTTTAAGCAAATTTCCCCCGCAATTTAATCTACAATGTCTGTAAATTTCAAGGGAAAATATCTATGAATTTTCTTCAAATATGAATGTTTTACAGGGAGAAATTTGGCAACGTCTGCGTGTTAATACGATGTCTTTACTTAGCACGGCAGCATTGTCGGGAGAGGAAAGCCAAAGCCAGGCAGCTATCATTGCGCCGGGACTGGCTAATATGCATCGATAAATTAACAGCGTGTAATGAATTCGTAGCGGCCGAGCTTCTGATCAAGGGTCGTTTCCATTTCGACTCGAAAAACGTTGTTGCCAGAATTCCCATGAAAATATTCCCAAGGTTTCTAATTCCGAGTGTTCTTTAATAGTTTTCCTTGTATTGGGGAGGGAAAAGAGAAGGCAAAATTTAAAAGTTGTACGAAAAAAATTAATTGCTTCATCTGAGAGAGCGTATTGTGCACATAGTGCACATTTCGTTGCTCTTCTAACGTAAGGTCGTATCTTGATTTCCGCATGAGCTCCAGAAAGCATTGATTTATATGTAAAACAGGGCTCACGTGAAAATTGAGATATGCCCTTACGTCAGAGGTTACGATTTGTAGTGTCCACTGTCTTTCTCATCGTTTTATCTGATACGGGAAATTATAGAAAAATAAATTTAAAAGTGAGAAAATGTACCACATTGTGACGTCATCTGGCGACATTTCCCATTTTTACACATGTATTTTAGCAGATTCACTTGTTTTGTCATATTTCCTCCGATAGTTGTTCATTTTAGAAACCGAGGAAATTCTCGTGCACAGTTCTCTCAGTAGTTTCATCTTAAACATAATATTCAACAAAATTCAGACACCGGCAAATTCTCCTTCGCAATAAAATCGCTGGGGTGGTCAACATATTGAATTTGCTATCATCATAGGGCCTATTTCTCTGTGCTTCGTGGGTTTGTCCCTACCTCCCTATAATTTCCTGCTTTAATCCGCAACATTGAACTCCTTTGGTTTTTTAAAGAAATAAACATTCTCCATTGAAATTCCTCGACTTTTTTAGGGTGAAAAGTTCTACGTAATTTTGATAAAATTTAATGACTTTAGAAAAAAAATTCCAGTCAATACTCGTGCTGAGTGCGTTCTCCACTCCAAATGAAAAAAGTTCCTGGCCTTCAGAAAAAATCCATGACTTTTCCACATTTTCCCTAACAGTCGCCATCCAGTTTAAAAAAATCTCAAGAGAAAGCAAGTTGCGGGTTTCCATTTTCGAGTATCCAATTCGGAGGGATTTCGGCACGGTTTTACAACATAGCCCACATTAATTCGTGATGGATCGAGCACCTACTCCGTCCGGTCCGGTCCGCTCTCTTCCGTTCCCTCGGCCGGCACAGGAACGGAGAAGAGGACTAATCGAGAACCAATCATAGGTGGGTAATTATACCGGTCGAAGTGTGGCAAAGTTATGGAGTCTATTATTGTTGAGCAGTTAGCGTGTTTGTATAATCACTCAAGCAGCCGTTCTCAACTTTGCTGTGGAATCTGCTTTTCATGACAGGGAGGTGTTAGAATGCGCCTATGACAATTTAATGGACTGATAAAAGAACTCTCATTGGGATCCCTGCCCGGTAGGAGAAATGCTAAGAGCCGTGTGTCGTCGTTCCTTGATTGGTTTATTTATTAAGATGTTCTACAATGGGATCAAAATAGGTCTGTAGAGGCCTCAAAACATGACATTATAGTATAAGTCAACATTAAGACTTTTACACGAGACACCATCCTCGATGATTTATCTACGGACTGGAATTCCGATTATCCCAAAATAATACAGCGAAAGGTTTGAATTGGAAATATATCGATTTAATCCACTATGTATTGCGCGAAAGCTGAAGATCCGCCATGTAAGATTTCAAGGATTTCTTAGATTTTTCACCCACTGGAAAAAAAAAACACATTGGATCTAGAGTCCAGACTCTTAAAAACATCGACAAGATAAAACACTCTCGATTCAATCAGATTTAAGCTTAAATCAAGGACCAAGCATCTTAATTTCAGCGGTTTTCCTTTTGATATAAGCTTAAGTCTGATTGAATCAAGAGTCCTTTTTCTTGTCAATGTTTTCAACAGTCTGGACTCAAGATCCAATGTGTTTTTTCTTCCAGTGCCCCTATGACTCTCGATGAAATCCAAACATAAGATTTCACTGGCAAAAGTATATTGGGTCCAGTTTCCAGACTCTGAAAAAATTCTTCAAGGAACAATACCCATAATTCAATCGGATTTACGTGGTGGATCTTCAGTTTTCGCGCAATGCATATTGGGCTAATCGATCCCTTTTTTTCCTGTGTAGGTGTGGTGATTACCGAGGAAACTTTTGCGATTGGCCTTTGAAAATCTAAGCCGCCAAGCGTCCTGAAACTGAGAACCCCTGAAGTAATGTGTAATGTAATGTGTATGGAAAGTGGTTTTTAATTAAAATCGCGATTGTTGAGGCGACGCCGAAGCCGACTCGCGCGCATGCGCCCATGCATATGCCTTTGTCAATGCTCCAATAACTCCGATATTTATGCTGTCGGCGGTAGCTTAGATCCTCGGCCGGAGATACCTTCATTTACCCTTTCAGAGCCACGTTACGAAAATGATACAACTTCCAGTGGGCAGCACGCTGTGATCAGATAACAAAAACCCTACTATTTTCCTAACCTTGCGTACAAGTCTCCCGAGTATCGCTGGAAGGGTCTTGCGTCAGGGGTGCTCGCATGATAGTGAGATATTTTATTGAATTGGTCACTTGCGCGTGCTCAGCTTCGTGTTCTGATAGTTGATAACTTCTACAATTGCTAAAAACGCTAATTTTTTTAACGTTTCACATTCACTTGGACGCCAGAAAATTTACGAGACACTAAGAATGAAGTCATCCACCACAGACTACCATGCACAGAAAAAACGACGTAACTTCAAACAGGGCTTTGCACTTTTCTTCCACACATACTGTTCTATTACGAGAGAACCTGATCACTATGATGCTTCATTTTGTAAATCTGAATTCTCAATGGTATGCTATAGTTACTTCAGCATTAAGAAGAATAAATGGTCATATTGGTTTCTTGGTTGTAAGGAAGTGTGTCACTTACTAATTGAAAAAATCTAGAATGGAGTTACGGAGCGTTTACTGAGGACGAGCCCGTAACGTGGTGAGAAAAAAACGGCGTATGAACATTCCAGAGTTGCAAAATTTCCTCCAATAAAATTTTTGCTTTTGAGCAAAGTTTTCAATTTTTTTCCTTGAAATTTGTACACAATGAGGATCAAATTACGAAAGAAATTCTCTAAAAAATCGGAATAAAAAAATTTATACATATTTCCAAAAACTCGTGATTTTTCAAGGGAAATTTGGCAACGCCTAACGGCTCATACGGCGTATAAACATTCGAGAGACGCCAAATTTCCTCCGATAAAATGTTTGTTTTTGAGGAAAGATATAAATATTTTTCCTTAAAATTTTTACTGTTAGGATCAAATTACAAACGAAATTCTCTGAAAAATCGGAAGACAATTTTTTATAAACATTCCCAAAAATTCGTGATTTTTCAGAGGAAATTTGACAACACCAAAGGCTCATACGGCGTTTTATCTTGAAATTTTTACACTAATAAGATCAAATTAAGAAGGAAATTCCCTGAAAAATTGGAAGAAAAAAGTTGGTCAATAATCTCAAAACTGCCTGATTTTTCAAAGGAAATTTGGAGACGAAAACTGGGGGTACTTACTTAACGTGTTCGCTGTCGGGAAGCCACTCGGATCTCTCTTTGATTTGGGCGAGGGTTTTGGGCCCGTGGCGACAGAGTTTGATGAGCTCCGGTTCCGAGAGGAGGTGCGATATCCCGCGGAACTCCCAGTAGAGGTCCCCGCGGCTCAACGCGTCGTCATTGGTGCCCACGTCGCGCAACACCGTGACGAGCTTCTTCCCGCAGAGGTGGCAAGAGTTGATGAAAGGTTCGCATTCCTGCAACAGAGGAATAAATTCATGATAAAAAACAGTTCACATATTCAAACACACAGAGAGAAACTTTCAACACAAAAGTTTGGTTAATACGGGAAGTAAAACACTAAGTAACCGTAGCCTCCGGTTGACAATTTAGAGGGAAATGCCAGCTGCCAGCTAGTTTCTTTGAGGAAATTTAAAAAAACGAGTGGAAAATACTATAACGTCGTAATCGGAGGAATGCGTTTTCCTAATCTCTCAATCGCTTTCTGTGCTATAAATTCACCGTAAACTGTACCAAAATCGACACACAGTTGGTGTTGGTTTCCTGCATGAACCAAAATTAACGCAAATATTTTTATCAGTGTAGGAAATGTTTGGACAGACAGGGTGTCTACTAAAACAGGCTAGTCAAAAATAAGTACTTTACCGTTATTTTTTCAGTACATTCTCGAGAAATTCAGTATTTCCTCCAACATAAAAATTCCGTACTTTTTCAGTACCTCCATATGACGAAATTATAAAAATTTCAAAATTTGAAATTGCGACGAAGATGACAAAAAATTAAAAAAAAAAAACATTTCAGACTTTCTTGAATTTGCGCACTTTGTCAGTACTTCCGGACCACTCTTAAAAATCAGTACTATTTCCAGACCTTCTGGAAATTCTGGACTTGTAGACACCCTGGACAGACCTTCAGCTCCAGCTTTCCATTGATGTATTCCCGGTTTTCCAAACCTGTGTACTTCCAGTAAAGGAAATTATCTGGCATTGCTATTATGTAGCTTCTCTAGACTATAATGGAATTCCTTAGCTGATCCGTTGCAGGGACCTCGTCCGATCGGAATTCCTCGAGAGGGCGAGAGGGATTATTGGTAATTGCGCGTTGCCTGTCACCTTGTCCACGTTCACGGTTGCGACTTTCGCTACTTTCGGAGGGGCGGGAAAAAATCGGCTGAAACCGGCGCATGGGACCGCGCGGCAGTGGCGCGCTGATCCGAAGATTGCATTCAGAGGTCCTAAAAGTAAAAGTGGTCACTGCAGACCCGGGCTTTTCAGCCGCTGAACTCTTCTGACAGTCAGCGCTCTGTTGCCGTGTCAATTTGACGTCCGATAGCCGTTCGCAACTTTTTCGCCTTTATTGCTTTTCAGGGTTGCCATAGAATTTAGAGAATGAAATTCCCTGACATTATCCTGATTTCCCTGACACGTTTTAATGAACTTCCCTTGAAAATAGATTTCAGGTAACATTTGATGTTCGAAACGTCATACCTATATTCAAGAAAGCAAATAAAGGTAACTAAATGGATTTTTTCTCATATTTTTGTAATTTTCCCTAAAATTTCCAGATTTCCCCTGACTTTATGGCATTTCCTGACATTTCCCGGTATTCCCTGACTGTGGCAACCCTGACTTTTCTGCCGTGATAGCGAAGAGAGCCGTAAGTGCAAAAATGAAGTTTTATGAAAATGGGCTCACCAGTGTCTGAGCGGAATCTTCAATTAAAAGTAGCCTCTGTTCTTTGTCAAATTGTCACCTTTCACCCGAACGACTCTAAGAGACCGTTTGGATGATTAAAACTCGACCAATTATGTTTCAATTACATAAAAAGGGTATTATTAATTTTCATACTAGGCTAGTGTTAGGCAAGACAGTCGTAGGTGTTATCTTCTGCACGCTTTTGTGGTTGCGTTTGGACAGACAGTAAACACATTTTCAGGTTAGAAATTGGCAGAAAAGGGCAGCATTTTACTTGAAAGCACTGTTTTTATTGGCTCTCTGGAGGAATAATGTCATTTACGGCTTTAAAACCATTTATATAATGCACAATTAGCGTATTCCATATCTTCAGGTTAGTTAGAATTAGATTAGGTTAGGTCGGGGTAAGTTAAATTAGGTTCCATTCGGTGACACTGCACTACGTAGAAGTGTTTCGCACTTTGGCTTTGACTAACTGCAGCAAAATTAGTTTCATTTTCCCACATTCATACTTTTTTTTTTTTTCACTGGGAAAAAAACACATTGGATCTAGAGTCCATACTCTTAAAAACATCGACAAGGAAAAATACTCTTGATTCAATCAGACTTAAGCTTAAATCAAGAAGCAAGCCTCTTAATTTGAGCGGATTTCCTTTTGATTTAAGCTTAAATCTGATTGAATCAGAAGTGTTTTTTCGTGTAAATGGTTTCAAGCATCTGGACTCTAGATCCAATGTGTTTTTTTTTTTTATTTTTTTTATTTTTTTTCCAGTGTTTCATTTAGTCACAGAGGACTAGTAATCTGCGGCTAAAATGCAACAATTTTTATTGCATGGTCGCCAGGAGCCGCGGTTAAATGAAATGTAATCGATGAGCGATTGCGAAATCCGGCGGCCGTGGCTGGAGTCTACTGATAGCAGATTGCATTGAAAAGCCTCGAAAGTAAAAGTCGAATGGATCGATAGTTTTCAGAGGTCACTCTCCTGCCCCAACGAGGGCCCGCGCGCCTCCGTTCGCGTCGCGCATAACACGTTGCTGACAAGTGTTCTGCGCCCCTCGCTGTTGCCACAGTCGTTATGTTGCTCTTGGAACCGCGAAAATACATTACCAGGTAGGATAGTTCTTCACTGGGAAAAAAATGCATTGGATCTAGAGCCCAGACTCTTAAAAACATCGACAAGAAAAAATACTCTTGATTCAATCGGATTTTTGCTTAAATCAAGAACCAAGCCTCTTAATTTGAGCGCATTTCCTTTTGATTTAAGCAAAAATCTGATTAAATCAAGAGTATTTTTTCTTGTCAATGTTTTCAAGAGTCTGGACTCTAGATCCAATGTGTTTTTTTCCATTGTTGTTAATAGGAAATTGAAAAAAAAACATTAATTAAGGGGCTTGAAAGACAATTTTTCTGTTTCGAGAAATACGTGTTTGAAGTTTCGAAATTACATGAATCCTTATGGCGGAAAGAAAGTTCAAACTGACTTTCTGATGCTTCTATTTTGGAGCTTTGGAGCGAATTTTTCACAGAATATGCAAGACCAGTTTTACTTGATATCATTAATAACTACGCTTTTTCAAAAACTGCACATATGCGCCTTGTCCTCAAAGCCCATCAATTATTCCCCATCACAATGATGTAACATAAGAAAACAGTATGGAAAGTATGTAATGTAAAGTTTATAATGTATCCATGTTTTTCTTGTCGCCTGGGTAAGGTCGAAACTGCAAAAAACTCGCATCTTATCTTTTCAAAATCGTGCGTAGAAAAAGATTCACACAACAGGAAGTTCAGAAATCAAAGCTTGATTGAGGTATGAAGAAGTAATGGAACGGGATCAAGTGGATGTTAGATTATACAAATGACACCATTGGTATGTTTTACAAATACATACTTCGACACTTCCATCTTCTTCAGGGGATGATTTTTGGCTGTATCTCTGTCAAATAATTCGTTTTCTTCGTGAAATTTCAAGGAGAAATCATGTTGCGTAGTGCTTTAAATACCGTATCAATGGAGGCTCATCATTACCCTAAAATCGTGGTACTTTCCTAATTTGTTGGATGGAATGGAATTTTGAATTAATTTTGTTAGTGCCTCAACTTTTGGGTTAGTAACCTTTATCAGGCTACTACCACAATTAATTAAAAGTGTCCAAATTAGGACTTTACCCCTACTCCTTCTTTTCCCGTGTCACCGAAGTGGTTGATGTCGATAACCGCGTTTAGTAAGGGATGATGACATCCTTTATATTGAGCGTAGAGACTTGAAGTTTGGATGGATCTTGTAAATATTTATTAACCTTGGGCTAACTTTCAAACATCTAAGTACAATTCCGCAACCGACTTATTTGTGCGAAATAGCAAATACAGGGGAGCTTAATTCCTAACCCTATCGCGTGGTTCTTTGTAAGATGGCTAAAGTTGGCAAAGCCGGTGTAATGGGCGATAGCGTGGCCGTGAACAGGAGAGCAGGGTGCAGAGGCGTTTGTTACTTTGTTACGATTCTGAGTTGATCGGTGAACGCATTCTCCAGTCTCTAACACTGTTGCCATTTTGTGCATTCACCAGTGTGAATCCTCAATGTTTTGATGTTTACCAAAGTAAGTTTGCAATTTGAGGATAGGGTGGGCAAAGGAGGTTTGAGGAGACCTTTAACACAGCACCATAAAAAGGACTATTAGGATCGCATTTAGCAAAAGGGAACCAGAGTAATTACAGTGTTTTCAAAAGTGTGAGACTTCTTCTTTACTTTTGAAAATACCTAATATATATACAGGATTAAAATTAACACAGTTATTTTCCTTTAAAAGTAACAATTTTTTTTGGTGGGAAGCAAAAAGTATTTGCTATTCTGGAGGGGTTGTTTGGGTAATTAAGAAGACGCAATATGTTTACAACACTGCAATTGCGCTGGTTCCTGTTTGCTAAATGCGATCCATTTTTGAGAACCAGGAGTAAAATTTCAGAATGCAGCTATAGAAATAGATCCTTGGTATTTATTTCATCACAAAAAATTGATATTAGCAGGTCGACTAACAAAAAATTGCAACAATCAGGCTGCAGGTTCGGGAAGAAGTCCTTTTCCTGGTGCTATATAATGGACCACATTAAAACACTGGGAAAAAAAAAAAAAAAAAAAAAAAAAAAAANAAAAAAAAAAAAAAAAAAAAAAAAAAAAAAAAAAAAAAAAAAAAACACATTGCATCTAGAGTCCAGACTCTTGAAAACATTAACAAGAAAAAGGACTCTTGATCCAATCAGAAGTAAGCTTAAATCAAAAGGAAATCCGCTTAAATTAAGAGGCTTGGTTCTTGATTTAAGCTTAAATCTGATTGAATCAAGAATACTTTTTCTTGTCGATGTTTTTGAGAGTCTGGACTCTAGATCCAATGTGTTTTTTTTCCTTGGTGGCAATTAAAGCCAATATAGGTATATCCTGAGGAAAAGGGGCGTCTAAAGAGTGACTATAAATACGGCCCCTGGTGGACAAGAATTGGCAATGCGGTGGCTAGAAGACGGAGGAGACTGCTGTAATTGCCTGT